CTTCGCAGTCGTCCACGCACATTATGTTTAAGTCATTTGCGCACGTGGGAGCCCGAACATTGCGAATCGGCCTTGGTCATGATTTGACAATATGTGGGCATACCACATCTACAAAAAACGACGCATTGCACGCGACGCATGGTTCGCGCGGACAAAAGCGCATGCAGGCTGGGGGGTCGTTCCAGGGTACAGAAGCGCATCAAGGAGAGGGGGGGTCATGCCATTCAGTTGGGGAAGAGCAGTTCTGGGCCCCATTCTTTCCAAGGATCCTTCTTTCTAGAAGAAGACCCAAAACCCTGAAAAAACGGATCCGGTTTTTGCAAAGAACGATGGCTGAAAAGAATGGAATTGGAATTCAACCCCTGCAGTGCACGCAGCCTGTACCTTAAAAAGGGAGCCCCCCGCTGACTGGAGGCTGTGCCAAGAGAGCAAACGGAAGAAACCGCGGCTGGTGTGTCGTTTGCTGACACCCTCGGCTTCAAAACGAGTCGGACATTGAAGAACAAGATCCCTTCATGCAGCCATCTTTCTGTGCATGAGCCGCGTGGCAGCAAGAAATGCATGTTGCCGCAAGATTCGAATATCAATAAGGATCGTGGGACAACAACGTTGGCCCGCTTGGTTCTTTATCTGAATTGATTGGCCAACTGCTTGGACCAGGCAGCCCTTGATGTTCTCTCGCAAGCGTGAGTGCAACAAGCCTAGCTCCATCAGGTATCAATCGTAACCTCGGAATGTAGTTACTTGCGTGTTTGCTTGCAAAAATATGTCATTGACATCGCCAGCCCGTGTTGCTAATCTGTCCGGTCTTTTCCACGATAATTTTCCTCGCCAATGAATAACACTACCAATGGCCGCTCACAGCTACTTCATTTTCCCAGACACTACATGACTCGCATGAACATCACATTTACTTCATGAGACATTTATCCATATTTTCAATTAGCATGCCTCAGATTACCATCCACTTCCTTTGTGCAGAACTCTGACCCGTGAGCTCTTGGGGCTGCGGCTCATGAAGTCATTCTGGAACGCCATAGGTGCAACGTTGCTTCGAAGCTGCACCAAGACTCCACTGCATGCAGATACAGTTTGGTCCTCGATCCGCAAAACCAATGGCGACTGTTGGGGCACTTCCGTTGATCAGTGGCCTTCCGTTGAGGCAAATACCACTGGACCCTGAGTTGTGGAGTTGCTGAGTTGTACATGTCATAAGCCGAAAGGCTGCCAGGAGGATGATTCACCGAGGTCGCTCACGGGATTGGCTTCCGGCCACACAGACACACAAACGAATGAAATCCTTGTTTTTTTCTGGTGAATTCTGATTGCCGTGCCTGTCACGCCCATCCACGCCCGGAATTGCAATGGCGCTACCCAAACAACGAAATGGCACTCCGTCGCCCAACATGCCGCCCAATTCATTTAGATTAGCTCCTTTCACAGGTTGTATCGGGAGGCCGGACTGCAGTAATAAGACTGTGTTTGTATCCGATTGTCAGCACGCATCTGTCTTTTGCCCATAGTGGCTCTGGGAAAGGGCAAAAACACTCACAGGGTTGTGTCCCAAAACTTCTTTAGGGCGCTGTGATGGCCCTCAAAACACTGGCCATGCAAACACGTCTCCAAGTGCGTCAACATGCTCTACCCAAACCAATGCAAAGAACTACAAAGGCGTACCTGATTGGGACTGTCCCTTACTAATCTTCACTATGCGGGCTTTGATTATGGCTCAAGTAAGAGCCACTTCTGAGCCCGTTGCGGACTTTACGATGAAGGCTGTCAATACATACGCACGTGGAAATCACTCCCCGTCCTCGGATTCCTTGGGGAACCAATCGAGCCAACCACTGGAACCCATCCGCACTCCCAAATTGCTTCGAATCCATGTCAAAGGGCTCATGTCATTCGGGTATCCAGCCCCCCACATCCATGAGTGGGCCAAGAAGGGTCTGAAAATAGAAACCCTCGAACAAAGAACCCTCAAACGGTCTCTTGCTGGTGCTCAGGGAATGAGAATTGGAATGACCCTTAAAAACCGAATCCCAACCGGTGGTTTCCTTGAAGGGGACAGTTCATTCCAATTCTCAGTCCCCACCTTTCGCAGCAAGTTCTCAAAACCCTCACCGCGCCCACGTGAGCGCGTAACCACGTGGGAAGGCTTCCCATGCGGCGAGCTCGGCGCTTGCGGCTCTTTTGACCTCGAGCCACCGCGCATTGCCTGTGAGCTCGAACGCCCGTGCGCTCAACGGAAGCTACAAGAGCCATGAACACAAAGGTACATCATTCAGGTGGGGATTCATATCCACCCACCACACTTGCGGTCACAGCCATATGTATCTGTAGCGGTGTGTTTCATACGCTCACATCAGCTCATGACGTACAAGAGCCTCTTTGCTGTTTGATGGCCCTTGCGAATCACTGGTTTGTCTTTTAACCCTTAAAAGGTGGTGTGCAGTTATGAGCAATTGCAAAGAAATGAAAGCGACACAATCAATGTTGCCCTGCCTGCTGCAACTAGAACAAGGGGCATACTTTAGGAAGCTGCAAACGCTGAGCCTGTGCAGCAATGCTCCAGTGGACAGGAGGCTATGACAGCCTGTGGCGGCCCAGCAATGGTGGTAGCAATGAAGCCGCTGGCCGTTGACAAGACATATCGCAAAGTGCTATCGCTTCACCAGCGCCAGGTTAAAACCCAACTTGCGCCTAAAGCAAGTGTGAGTAAGCAAAGATGACCTTCTAGGGCTTGGAGCGCAGTGCTTCTGTCCAGAAAGCTTGCTAAAACCAGGCTTCTCGCCCGAGTTGTGCAATCGAGTTTGATCTTCCGAGGTTGTCTCATCATGTCGTGAGAAGTGTTGTCGCTTTTCGCTTTGCGCAAGGCTGAAACAGCAAACAGCAAACCTCATGCACGGGTCCTGGCACGATTTGGCCCACCTCTTCCCGCTGGAAGAGTTTGAGCAGGCTCTGTAAGTCGTCTTGGCGCAGCCAAACAAAGCAGTATTAGATTCCTCTTCATCGGACGGCTTGCAATAATTCAGATTGATACGATTCTTGGACCTGAACCATGCCTGGCGTTACACCGGAAGAAGCCCGTTGCTCATTTGAGTTAAAGACGCATACTTTCCATGGCCCTGAGATCCTCCTGCCTTTCCCACGCATCATAAACCAAAATCATGCGATTCAATTTTGGCTCATGGACAGGGAAATGCAGCGCTCAAATATATATATATATATATATATGTCTGTGTATCTATGTGCCCGCGTGTCTGTCTGCCCGTGTGTCTGTATGCCTGTGTATGTGTGTCTGTGTATTCATGTACATATGTGTTGTGTGTGTGTGCGTGTATGTATGTATGTACGTACGTGCGTATGTATGTATGTATGTATGCACGTATGTAAGTACGTATGTATGTACGTATGTATGTGTGTGCGTATGTGTGTAAATCTGTATTTGTGTATGTGATGTGTGTGTGTATGTGGGTATCCATCTGTGAATGTGTGTATCAGTGTATGTGTGTATGCATGAATGCATTTATGCACGCATGCATGTATGGACGCATGCGTGTGTGTAAGTGTGTATGTATGTATGCGTGTATATATATAAATACATATGTGTGGATGTGTATGTGTGTGTATGTGTGCGTATGTGTGTGTATGTGGTTATATGTGAATGAAGCCTGTGTATGTGTGACTGATGTGTGTCTATGTGTGAATGATGCGTGTGCGCGTGTGTGCATATAAATGAATGATGTGTGTGCTTGTGCGTGTCTCTCTCTGTGTGTGTGTGTGTGTGTGTGTTTTTTTGTGTGTGTGTGTGTCAGTGTGTGCGTGTGTGTGTCAGTGTGTGTGTGTGTGTCAGTGTGTGTGTGTGTCAGTGTGTGTGTGTGTGTGTCAGTGTGTGTGTGTGTGTCAGTGTGTGTGTGTGTCAGTGTGTGTGTGTGTGTCAGTGTGTGTGTGTGTGTGTCAGTGTGTGTGTGTGTCAGTGTGTGTGTGTGTGTGTCAGTGTGTGTGTGTGTGTGTCAGTGTGTGTGTGTCAGTGTGTGTGTGTCAGTGTGTGTGTGTGTGTGTGTGTGTGTCAGTGTGTGTGTGTGTGTGTGTCAGTGTGTGTGTGTGTGTGTGTGTGTGTGTGTGTGTGTGTGTTGTGTGTGTGTGTGTGTGTGTGTGTGTGTGTGTGTGTGTGTGTGTGTGTGTGTGTGTGTGTGTGTGTGTGTGTGTGTTTGTGTGTCTCTGTGTGTGTGTGTCAGTGTTTGCGTGTGTCTGTGTGTGTGTGTGTGTCTGTGTCTGTGTGTGTGTGTGTGTGTGTCTGTGTGTGTGTGTGTCTGTGTGTGTGTGTCTGTGTGTGTGTCTTTGTCTGTGTGCGTGTGTGTCTGTGTGCGTGTGTGTGTCATTGTGTGTGTGTGTGTTGTGTGTCTGTGTGTGGTTGTGTGTCTTTGTGTGCGTGTTGTGTGTCTGTGCGTGTCTGTGTGTCTGTGTGTCTGTGTGTCTGTGTGTGTGTGTGTGTCTGTCTGCGTGTCTGTCTGTGTGTCTGTCTGTGTGTCTGTCTGTGTGCCTGTCTGTGTGTGTGTGTGGGAGTGTGGGTGTGTGTATGTGTACGTGTGAGTATGTGTGCGTGTTTGTTTCTTGAGCCCCCCCCCCCCTTTTGGGGGGGTTTGAAGGAACCAGCAGGAAATCACCATTTTGGGGTTCCCGCCATTTTGACACCATGTGCTATTGATTAGTATGCTCCTCCACATAAATTTCTGAATTTGCGAATCAGTTGCGGCTTGCGTTCTGGAAGACTCGCTCACTTCCTTCTCGGAACAGCTGCTTCTGGACAGCAACCATTTTGGCAAAATTGAACGGTCGACTGTTACAGACCACTAATCTGGGCATGTCACTTCAGCATTAAGCCAGGGAACCCCCTAAGAGGAGTTATTTTACCTCAGTTCCAATCAAACCAACCCCAAAAAGGCTACCTTGAAGCACACGACGTGATGGTTGCAACTGCTCGGTGTGCCTCTCTCTCAGCGCGAGTTCCAGGTGATCGCGTGCACGTGAGTGCCTCGATTCGCGATTCGATGGTGGATGCATTTTTTGGAATACCCGCATTGGTGGTAGGTCTTAAAGCGAAACCAACGGGAAAACCCCTCAGTGTTGGGGCTTCCCTTTAAAAAGAAAAAAAAACATGGTTTCTCTACCGCGAAGAGAAGCCTAGACCAACACCGGGCAAACTATTCGGCCGAATATCATTGGGCTAGTCGGAAACAGCAAATGTCTTGCTCCCATGATCAACAGGGATCCTTATATTATACACCTGAACAATGCCTTGTAAATGGTGGCTTCCCTTTATTTTGGTGGAAAAAGCCATGTACGAGTATCTTTCAAGGAGCCCTGATCAAGAACCCAGAAATTTGACCAGCTTACAAAGGGCACCCTTTTGCACCCATCGTGGCCAGTCCCCAAGCTTCTCAAATCGATGGATGGCCCTTCAGCCCGGGAGCATTGGGCTGTGAGGAGGAAACCCCCACTAAACCCTAAAAGTCTAAAGCTAAGGAACCGGATGGCTGTGAATCACCCACAAAAACCTGTTGTTAGTTCCATGTGGCCAAAATTTGGCCCAAAGCAGAAGGGCCGGAGTTCTCATGAAGCGGCGGAAGAAGAAAAAGATCCGCGTTAGCAAAGGACTCAAAAAATATTGTGACTCCTCATACATTCCTAAACGATGCCAAACCATACACGTTGAGCTGGTTTTGTCCCACGGAAAAGGGGACCCCAACCAATCCCCATCATCTTGGGTACAGCCGACCCGTCTATCACTGCAAATTCCCCAGACAGCATACGAAGGGTTTCTGCGGTGAGAGCGTATTCCAAAGTGCGCTGTCCGTTGGGTTTTCCTTCACCACCCGTCAAATGTCCCGTCTGTTTTGCCCCTTCCATCTTGGGATCGACACCCGGCTCACATTTTGTGTCTCTCTCGCAGATCGCCTTGGTCTCTCCGAAGCCAACGCGGGGGAATTGCGCCTTTTCGAAAGAAACTAACCATTGCTGCCATGTGACTGAGTAATATTTGGTAGAACAAAACCATTTCAGAACAGCCTGCAAGGGGCTGATCTCTTAGCTTGAGCCTGCGTTCGTTGGCTGCTCACCGTTCCCTCTCACATCTGCGCATGGCACGGGGGAAATGGACAAAAGCCTGCAGCACTGGAAGATACCCAGTTTTCAAGCGAACCCGCTGGTCCCTTCCCCGGCAAGTCCCTATCAAGGTAAACCAAAGTGGGTCTGGCCTTGAGAACCTTGCTGGTCAGTAGGGAATGACGGAATGACACCTCCAAACCATCCAACTGGTGGTTTCCTGTAAGGGGACCCCAAGGTTCATTCCCTCATTCCCTACTGAGCACCAACAAGAAACGCAGGTCAGAAGGGAATTTCACGCTTTCCTGGCCTCTGCTCTTGGCTTCCCTTGAGTCAACTGCCCGTGGACGACCAAAGGGCATTTTGCGAGAAACCAACCGAGAAGCTCCGAAACTCTCACGTCCACACGATGCTTGTTGTGGGACGCCAATAACTGTCCTCGCCTGCCAGTTTGCCCAAAGTCATGCTGTTCGGCCAATGACGATGGTCAAGACTCCATGCCTGAGATCGTGAAGCTTCTACACAGCAAGTCATTTGAAGGCCACATTCCAGGATTCAAGTAACCAACCAAGACATCTGCACCTCTTCCCCCCCCTCTGCCCCTGCCATGCGCATGGCGAGCTGGGTGAAATGATGGCGCGCGCGCGCGGGCCATCAGGCAATGGACATCTCGACTCGTGGAACGAGGAACCAGCCCTCTGTCAACCCGTTCTCATGAGCCATGCCGTTTATTTTTTTTGCTTCGCCAAGAGAGATGAAAGAAGATGGCCCCCACAAAGACCCCTCCCAAAAACCGGCAGCAAAGGGTCCAAATGAAAGACCTCTCTTTTGCATCGACGCTTGCACTTTGTGATGTTCCGCAAAGAGAACTGCTTCAGAAAGTAATCGCGAATATGTTGACCGTTGCTCACATCCAGTGACTTGACTGACCGAACATTTCGCCGGCGTGCCGCGCGTCAGCGCTCAGGTCATTCCTCTGCCTGAGGCCGAGCGATTGAATGGTGCAATTGGGTGGGGGGGGATATCCTTTCTTAGCCCTGTGACCGAAGCATCCAGTGCCGACCCAGGGTCTATGTTGCACTGCATTGCTCCTTAGATCCGGGTCCCCACAACCAAGCTGGACCAAAGTCACAGGTGCTCTTGGTATGCGAGATATCAAGGTTCCCGACTGCAACAAGTTTACGACCCCATGAAAGCAATCAAATCCAAGGCGCAGCATCCCCTGCTTGACTGTCTGGGGTTCAAATTGGGTGTGCCCCATATGTTTATGTTGGTGGTCTGTTTGCTCTCGCCTCGGCCCAGCGCAAATCAATGTTGAACCTTGGGGGGAGAACCCGTGTTTCTGGTATGTTCCGTCAGTTCACCCTCACGATTCAAGCGCCTGAGGCATCGAGTCTGAGGCCGGTTAAAATATTTTGCTCGTGGAGTCTCTAAAAATGTCCCAAAGAGTCCCCGAGTTTAGCAGAAAGTGGGGCCGGACATGTCCAAAGAGTCGCCAGGTACGCTACCGAAAGCAGAAAGTGGGGGCTTCCTTCTCTGCGTCTTGGGCAGGTCAATCTGCAGCCCCCGAAGCAAGCCAACGAGATTTTTCGGCGGAAACAGTACCTCAAGGGGCAGGTTTACCCGAAATAGCAGTTCGCTCTAGTCACCCGCCTGGGATGCTGAGATGGCTGTAGGATATAAACAAACATACTCACCTGCGTACCGTGCATGACCTGCCCCCTTCAGTAGTGGTTCATACGATCAAGCCTTGACATAAGGCCAAACCAATGTCGCAGGGGTGTCATCCTTGACGGCCTGAGCAGACCGAGGGACTGTTGTAGGTAAAGAACCCGCCAGTTGCATGTACCACAGCTTTGGTCTGGCATTACTTTCACCTCAAGCTACATTCACGTCAAACCCTATTATATCCCCTTCCTATGAGGGCTCTCTCGCAAAATATATATTAAACAAATCATGGGCTCGTTGCGGGTGTCATCCAAGCTTGCGCACACCTCCCATCTGTTGCAAAAAAGGCCACATTTGGTGCTCGCAGCATCTCCCCAATCCGATTTCAGCGGGGTTCGGCTTGCTGAACTCTTTGCCAGGCTTGACTCATTCGATTCGTCAAAGAGGCAGCATGGGGACGTGGCTGATACACGCTAGTTGGCGCCAGTTGAATGTATCTCAGGACGAATGATCAAGGTTCCCCGCTAAAAGTAGGGAACCAAGAAAGATATCTGCCCCAACCAAAAAGTCCCAAACAAGCGAACCAAACTAAGTATGGGATAAATGAGGGTTGCTTTTATCTATGTATGCATATATATATATATATAGGGTGTATAAAAGGCACAAAAGGGCTATACAAGGGGTTGTATGAGGCACACTCACAATACGCTGTTTGGGTAGTCTCCCTGACGTGTGCGTGACAAATCAAATGAGTGAGTCGGTTGTCTCTCCCAAATTTACCGAACCTTATACAAGGTGTATATGAAGGGACGGAATGAACATGAACCCTTGAGTCGCAAACAGTGCTGTCAATCTCTAGAGGAGCCATACAGAGTCACTTGGCGACAACGACAGTGGTCTTGTCCAGTTGGGGAGAATGTTTTGAAATCACGTGCGCCTGAACACCAAAGCTTTCCAGTCCACATGGCTGAATCCACTATACGTTTCACTCAGCAAATCCCAGCGCAAAGGAAGACGATACAATCGCCTGTGCAAACAGCATCTTCTCAAGTTTCTGAAACCTCTTGCATGAAACCATTTCCCCAAACTGGGATCCCGTAGTTTTCCATATACTGTCTCACCTCGAGCGACCGTTCGGGAAGGAAGCCCAAAAATTGCGTGAGCTGAACGTATGTATTGAGGGGCGGAGAGGCGTGTCGTTTTGGATTTACGTCGTGTCCATCGAGCTTGGGTCCTGCGTGGTCCGGACAGGAGGCGCAGTGCGGTATCACCGTCGTTGTCATCGTGTGGTCGGCACTGGGCGGCAGCCCTTAAACTTGTCTTGAATGGAAGGAGAATTGGCTATCAGATGAACAAGGAAGCTTCCCCAGGCCAAACACGGTCCTCCATTTGCTTAAGTCCCCTGGAAGAAAAAAAACCGTATTTCCAGTAGTGATAGATTCCCTTTAAAACCAACGGGGGAAAAATAAAAAAAAAAAAACTGTCTGAACCAAATGGAAGTGGTGAAACACTGGGTGTGTGACAGTTGGCATGCAAACGTTGAACAAGAAGTTCTTGCAGGGATACTTGTGAGTGAGGCCTGGGCAGCATGCGAGAGATACCTTGAAACACTTTGCCTCGGGCACGTGTGGCTTTGTTCCGTGCCAACTAACAACGTGTATAAAGGAATAAGAGGGATTCCAGCAACTGCAAGGATGAGGTTGCTACCGCCTTGGCCTGCGCAGTTCTTTTTTGCCAATGGAGTGCGGTCCGGGAGAACCAGCCCAAGTTCGAACCCTTCGGTTCCCGATTCTTCCCCGTTTGGGATAGATGGAAACTACCAGGACCCCAAAGCTTTGGGGGAAAACACTATGTATCAGCTTTCTTCTACGTGGTTTGGCGTGTCTCTTTTGCGGGGATTGTCAAGGGAACCCCTTGAACAAAATATAAAACAACATTGATCAGTTTGGTGGTTTGGACCGGCAGAAAACTTCCCCATGTTCAAAGGAGCTGGGTTCAAACTCAAGCACCAATTCAAACCACCAATGAAAACCTACCTGAAAAAAGGAAACCGAAACCCAGTCTTGCGACTAGCCCCTTCTGAAAGGAACTTGAGTGGACTCCTCTGGAATTTACCGTCCAAGCAGCTCTGAGCTTCCAGGAAGCTGGTGAGGCCACCTGCGTATCCAGCTCAACAGGCGAAGAGATTCGTCTCGAGATCAACGGATGCGTCTCTTTGAAATCCGTCTTGCCTTATCTCTGTTTTGACTAAAAACGCAACAC